ATTAAGAATTCTGAGATGGGGAGAATATCCTGGAATATCTGAGTGAGTTCAATGTAATTACACTGATCCTTATAAAAGGGAGCCAGGAATATCAGAGAGAGAGAGAAGAGAGAGAAAGATTGGAAGACACAATGCTGCTGACTTTGAAGACGAAAGATGAGACCATGAGCCAAAGAACGTGAGCAGCCTCCAGAAGCTAGAAAATGCAAAGGAGTGAATTTTCCCCTAAAGTCTCCAGAAGGAATGCAGCCCTGTCAATACCTTGATTTTAGCCCACTAAGACCGATTTTGGACTTCTGACCTCCAGAACTGTAAGATACCAAATTTGTGTTATTTGAAGCCAGTAAATTTGTGGTGATTTCTTTACAACAGCAATACAGAATACAAGGGACATCATATTGTGTTTGAATCTTGCGTAGTCTGTGATTATTGGAAATTACTTTACAGAATTTCAGATAATAAATCATCCTTACATTCTTGACATGATTCTTGCTTGGTTAAAATGTGTCTTTTCTAAATTCAGTGATAGAGTTAGTTTGCAAGTATTTTATTTGATTATTATAACTATGTTCATAAATAAGATTGGCCTTTAATTTTCATTTCTCGTACTATCATTTTTTTGGGTATCAAAATTACCTGGACTCATGAAAGGAATTGAGAAGTACACCCTCTTTTCCTATTGTATGAACATGTTTTATATGATTGGGATTATTCTTTTCATTAAAAACTTCATGAAACTCAGCTCTAAAAGGTTCAGAGAAGGGTGCCATTGTTGTGTGTCAATATTTGAATGTTCATTCAGTTTTTTAGTGTGTATAATAAATCTTTTCAGATCTTATAATTCTTTGTTTTCCATTTTTTATTGAAGTATAGCTAATTTATAATATGCTAGTTTTGGATGTACAGCAAAGTGATTCAGTTAGACATATATATTCTTTTTTTCAATTCTTTTCCATTTGAAGTTACTACAAGATATTGAATATAGTTCCCTGGGTTACAAAGTAAATCCTTGTTGTTTATTTTATATATGATGGTGTGTATCTGTTAATCCCTATAATTCCTTTTGAATCTATTTTGGTGATTTATAGTTTTCTAGAAAAGTATTTGTTTCAGCTCTTCTCCAATCATTAACATAAATCTTTTTATAGTATTCTCTTTAAGTTTTTACTTTACATATAGTGATGCCTGTTATTTAATATCTAATAGTGTTTATTTATGCTTTCTTTTTATTTTTTATCTTCTTCAATCTTGGAAAAAGTTATTGTATTTTGTTAGTCTTTTCCAACAACTAGCTTTTGGTTTAGTTGATCTTATATTGTTTGATTTGTATTTCCTTAATTTATGCTCACAGCATTATTTCCTTTCTTTTATGTTGTTTGGGCTTACCCTATTCTTCTGTTTTAAAAATGTTTAGCTGAATACTTAGTTTATGAATTTTTAATCTTTTTATTCACAAATATGTCTAACTATTACATTTGAAGAAGAAACTCGAGTACAAACCAAATAATTGTACCCTGCCTCTTGCCCACTGAAATTTTATTAAGCTAGTTCTTTCCTGCCCTTTGAGTAAACTGTATAATAGAACTCATGACTTTTTCCTTCATCTCTGTCAGAGAGGAAGAAATTTTCCTCTACCCTTCTAGGTTCTTCTGGCTGATCTAAGAATTAAATTGACATGAGACAGATGAACAAGAGAAAATGAAACAAAAATTTTATGTCATGTATACATAAGAGAGACCCAAGAAATTAGTAACTTGCTAAAATGGCTGAAGCTCTCACCCTGAATACCATCTTCAGCTAAAAAAAAAAAAAAAAAAAAAAAAAGATATCAGTGGTTTGGGACTTCAAAGGAGAAGAAGGCAACTGACATGGAGATGAAAAAGCAAATGTTTGGTAAACAAATTTTGCTGGGGCTGGCAGAGAAAATGGGACCCAGAGAGAAATCTGATCTCAATGGACCATACCTGGTCTAAAATTTTTTTCCAAAATCTCTGGTGATATTCAGAAGACAGACTCTATTCTGAAGACAAGTCTTTTATCTAAATTATTTAGGCAACTATGGAGGAGGTAAAAAAGCAAGACTTCCTGAATCTTCTGTTTCTTAAAAATAATCAGCCTCAATTAATCCTCACGGCAAAGAGACACATTTGGAGGAACAAATTTTGCTGCCCAGCATCTCAAATGATGAGAATCTTCTGGTCACTTTAATTCCAAGAATAGTCTAATTGCAATAATAAAGAGCTGGTCCCAAATAATAGTCAAAACTCTGAAATTCATTAAGGGTCAAAACTTATTCCCAATTCTTTTTCAGGCTGCTCTAGACAGGAAATCTGCTGGGCAAAAGAGGGTTTTAATCTATACTGCTTCTCTTTTCTGCATCCTCCCACCTCCTCCCACCGTATGATTCTCCTCCCTAGCCCACTAGCATGGTAGCCAGGAATTCACACATTTAGGAACAGGAAGGCCTTCCTGGACAGCATCAGGGCTCTGAGGGTTTGGTAGACATTCAAAGTTTACTCTTCTAGTCATTATATTGGTTAGGACTCTCTAAAGACCCAAGGCCAAATTAAGCAACATTTTACAACATAATTGGCCAGTACTATTTAAGAACGTCAAGGTCATGAAGACAAGGAAATTGTTCCAGATGAAAGGAGACTGAGCAGACATGACAACTAAATACAATATGTAGATCTGGATGCTGGATGTCAAAAAGGATACAAGTTGGACAACTGGTAAACTTTGGATAAAGTTTGTCATTAGATAGTGCTATATGAATGGTAATTTCCTGGTTTTCATATTGTAACGTGGTTACATAAGATTTTAACATATGGGAAATCTGGATGTATACAGGATTTTTTGTACTATTTTCTAACTTTTTTATATGTCTGAAATTATTTTTTTTTAAAGCATGGGGGAAAAATGTATGTGTTTTGATCTCACATTTAAAACTGTAGCTTAGATCTCTCCTCTGAATTCCAGACTAATTTAACTAGTTTTTTCAGTTTCTCATTTGATAGCTCTACTTGGATGTATTATAAACATTTCAAGCTTAACATTTCTCAAACTGAACTGTTACTTATCTTCAAAATCTCTTCCACTAGAAGTCATTTTCCAAATCCCCAAATGCCACCACTACCTATCCAGCCAGTCAAAGCAGATTTCTTGACATCACTCACCTAATCAACCCATCACTAAAATCTGTTGGTCCTTTTTGCCAATATATACCTCAAATCCACATGATTCTCTCAACCTCTATTGCCATGACTCTAGTCTAAGAGTCATGACTTTGACCTCCCGTGTAGTCTATTGTAATAGTTCCCTAACTAATCTCCCTGCTTTGACTAGGGATAACCCTCCAAGACATTCTCCAAAGAGATTCTATGTGATCTCATTCAAATGTACATTAGATCATGACTCTCCCACTTTCAAAATACTTCAACAGCTTCTCATTGTATCTAGAATAAAATTTAAAACTCATAACCTGGTTTAAGGCAAACTGAGACTTGTACAACTTATCTGCCTTCCTTAACTCTCCTCCAAACACACATACACTCTTACTACACTCCACATCACTCACCCGGCTCCAGCACACAGTATGCATGAAGGCCCTGAAGATCTACAATTTATGTGCTGCCTCAGGACGTATGTAGTTGTTATTTCTTCCTCATTGGACACTCCTCTTACTGCCTAAGACCCTCTTCCTAATAGTTTTCCTTTGACTAGTTCCTTCGCATCCAACACATTCAGATCTTGAATTAAATATCACCTTCTTTTAGAAGTTTTTCTCTTATAGCACTCAGGATAATTTTTAATTATAACATTATTTGTCACTTATTGGGTGCCTATGTCTCCCACGATAAGCTCAGTGAGAGCTGCAGTCAGGTCTGTCTTGTCCACCTTTACATACCAGTATCTAACTTATGCTCAACAAGTACACGATGAACAACTACTTTCTAAGCAGCAAGCTAAATTTGTTTTGTGATGACAGTCACTGTAGGCTAGAGATGAGGAATTATTTCCATACCTAAACAGGATGCAGAAGAGGTATCTTCGTCAGTAATGTAGTTCAGCACCTCCAGTTGACAGTCATATGATTTAATGTGAAATAAGCCTCATATGCTGGCTGGGCATTTGTCTCCCCACCAATTCCCTCCTGGAACTGTAGTTTGCAATGCATTGGAAAATGCATGCTGGACCTCTCCATGTACATCAGAAATGTACACAAAGAGGCAACCATTTCCGAGTCTCAGAACTATGCTGTTGAGATCTATCTTATAAAGCAAAATTGGCACTTACTGGATCAGGTCAGAAAATTCCAGGTACAGAGCTGCAGTGGAAATGTTCTTATACAACTTTATGAACTTTGGAAAAATGGAGTGCATGAGAGATCTAGGTTTAGAAATAAAAAGCCTTTGAAAGTTTTGTTGGGAATAGGTAAGTTCCAGAAGCAAAATAAGGAAAAATGAGAAGGGTGACTTCACTTTAAGGATTTTGATTTCACTGGACTGGATAATAGAAAACAGAAAGTATTCCAATTTCAAGCATTTCATATTACTGCCATTGTATTAATAGGATTACTGGCACCTGTACATAATCCTCTTTAATTAACTGAGTTGCATAATCCAAGAAGGACTGTAAAACAGGGGGGCAATTTTTTTAGAAAGTGTGACCGAAGAATTAACATAAGCAAAATCATGTGGACTCATTTCAGAATCTCTTCTGATTATTTCTTGATTCCCCACCCCTCTCCCATGGAGACATCCTTGACCTTTTAAACCCAATGCATCAACAAGATAAACAGTGAAGTCAGTGGACAAATGCATTCAGAGAGTGAACACAACCTATTTTAATCAGGACTCTGAGTTGTAATAAACAAATCTCAGAACAAACTAGATTGAACAAAAGGGAGATTTATTGGAAACAAACATAGGTAACTCATAAAATCAAAAACGAACCTAAGGTTTGAAGACCTCAAGGAATAAAATCAAGGTACAACTCACCAGAATTGTCTCTTCCTGCTCTCATCAGTCTCCTGCTTTCTCCAAGTGGTGAAAGACAGAACCAGCAGCTCTGAATCATATGCTTTCAGCTTTCCTGCAACAAAGATAGAAAGAATAATTTTCCCCAATGGAGCCTCTTACAAACAAAAAAATCTCAGGGAAGTATTCTGATTGTCCCAGTTTTGGTTAAATGCCCACTACTGAACCCATCACAATGTCCAGATGGATAAGAGAATCTACTTAGATGCGGGGTTCTGAGGCAAGGAGGTAGAGGAGTACTATGATTGTTAACCCTACCAGAAAATCAGGATTAGAGTGGATAAAAAGAACCCTCACTTTCCCCACCAAAGGCTTGTAACAAGAAGAAACTATGTAGACAAAAGCACAATATTCATCTCACTTTCTTTCCATCTCTATCCCCCAAAGAAGAAAACTGGAGGGTAGGGGATGGGAGGACAGGAAGTGGTAAGGAAAGGAGAGGACAAGAGAGGAGAGTTTTAACTGAATATAGAAGGATTTATACATGAGGATTTAACAGGAGTTACATGTAGACATTTCTCAGTGCATCCCGTTTTTGTAGAAAAGGATGTGGTAGGCCTAAACATGGTCCCAAAGATGTCTACATCTTCATCCACAGAACCTCAGAATACGTTACCATACATAGTAAAATGGACTTTGACAATGTGGTTATGGGTATGGACTCTGAGAAGCGGAGATTGCCTGGATTATCCAGGTGGGTCCTATCTAATCACATGAGCACTTAAAAGCAGAGAACCTTTTCCAGCTGTGGTTAGAGAGACATGATGATGGAAGAAAAGTCAGAGATATGCGAAGTCATTGGCTTTGAAGATGGAGGAAGGGAACCAGGAGCAAGGCAGTGCAAGTGACCTCTAGAAGCTGAAAAAGGCCAAGAAACATGCTCCTCTAGGGCCTCTGTAAAGGAACCTAG